ATTTAATTTCTACGCTATCCATTCATTTCTATCTTTAAAACACTTAAACGTCTCAAAATTTATTATTTTACTTATTCATGTTCTTTATTGTAAATTTATATATCTAAATATTTAACTCCATGAAAAATGAAAATTTAATATCTATCCATATATTATATAAACCTAAATATTTAAAAAATTATCCTACTTATCTTTATTTTTTAATGTTGTAATTTTCTCTATATTTCTATTTATTATTATTATTATTATTAAAAAAGTTGTCAATGATTATTTCCTTAATTAATTTCTATTATTTATTGTAACAATTTAAGTATCTCAAACTTTACTACTCTTCTTATTCCTGTTATTTATTGTAAATTTAAAGGTAATTATTTATCACTAAAATATTTTATTTTCTCCTTAAAGAATGACAATTTATTAATATATTATAATGAAATATCATACAAAAATTGCTTGAAAAAATTATATAAAATCAGCCCTTTCACTCTCCTAATTATGAGATTTCTCTTTTTTATCTAATTTTCAAAAATCTAAAAGTACTTACATATTTAGTCAATTAAAGAATAAGATAATTGTTCCCTAAATTAATTTTAAAATGGAAAGGTCTAACTCTCCAAAAAGTTATATCTCAAAATTCATTTATATTTATTATTACATTTCATGATGAATCCATGATTAAAGTTGACAACGTGAAAAATATTGCACCAGCCAAAGAAATAATTGTTTAATTTCCCCCCTTATTTTCTTATTTATTTTACTAGTTTATAAGAATAAAAGTCACAATATTATCATAATTGACTAATTTTTCATATTATTTATTAAAAATAGAAACTCATTCACACATTAATTTATGAAATTATTGATATTCATTTTTAACTTCTTTTTTTGTATATTTTTGTAGTATTTGAATTATATAATTATTATTCTTCTATACAAATTAAAATTTGTATTTGAGTTTTTTTGTGTAAATATTATTTTAAAGGTCTAATATAATTTTATTTTACGAAATATTAATCAATTAGTAAATGTTTGGATTGAATATAACTTCTATTTTCTTTCTCGAATTTAGAATTATACTTTCTATAGTATTCATAAGAAAGTTCTGTGTGAATATATGAAAAAGTTAAGCTATTAATCTTATCTATTATACTAATTGATGATATGCTCCTATTTTGAAGTAATAATTGCGAAAAAGTTAAGCTAAGCAAATTGTGTCAATATCAATTACTTTCTAGATGATTCTGCAATACGTTTGAAACAAAATCAAAATATCTTCATTTGGAAATTTCATTGAACTCAACTGGCATAATGTAAATAGTATTATATAGAAAAAATTATTGGTAAAATAACATAAATAATTAAAAACACCCAAAAAATGAGATGGTGACATATATAAAATTAGTGCATAAAACGTATGTCTTTGTATTCTTTCAGCGGAAAATTATAATTTTTTTTCTTTTTTTGGAATCTAGTTTAATTTTATTACTTTTTTTTCTTTTATTATTATTTTCTGTTAGATTTGCAATTTCTTAATTTTTATATAAATTAAATATAGAAAAATAGGATCGCATTTAATTAACAAGTTAAAGAATATTTTCCAAAATTCTATCCTTCAAAATTTCTTACGTTATTTATAATCCGTATCTAACTATCACCATTTAAATATATTTTTATTCTTATTACCAAACAAACCTTCCATAAAAAAAGTTTTAAAAAAAATTGAAAAGCGTTTTAAGTTTTAAGATACCATCTTACTCCCTGTCCTCAAAAGCTTTGTTTTTGGAAAATATTTTAGAGTTTTGTTTTTACTTTTACATCATCCCCAACAAGTTCACCCCCTCCCCTCCACCTTCGTCATTTTGAAAACAAGTTATTTTATGTCATTTGCACCCCACCACCCTACTTAAGCCATCTCCATCAATTTTTATATATATTTTAAGAAAGTTCTTAGAAAATGTTTCAATTTTTTTTTAATTTTTAAGAAAATAGCATGTTTTTGAAAAATATTTCAAATTTAATTAATTTTTTTGCCAACTCGCCTAGTGCCCCCTTCGCGATCCCATCAAACAATTTCAAAAAATTGTTTTTGAAATAAAACATTCCTTGGTCAAGTTAAGGGTCGAAAGTTTGGGTTAGGTTTTGGGTCAAATCTAAGGGTCAGATTTTGAAATGGTTATTGGGATCTTGTCCTAGTTTGAATATTAGATCAATTATAGACGTTGATTTTTTGATCCGAAATAATTTTAAAGAGTATTTTTTTAGTATCAAGTCAAAAATAAGCAATATTTTTTAAAAATATTTTTAAATCATCAAACAAACACGAGAAAATAAGTTAGAAATTCACTTGTTTTTCAAAAAAAAATCCTTCATACCAAAATTGAATCTATCAAAAGGTCTTAATCTATGCCACAAATTTATGTTCCAAAATCGAATATAATCAGATGCCCAAAAAGAGTCACAACATGTAATATTAACAAGAAACCAAAATTAAGGCAGCACTTTTGAGCTCAAATTTACCTCAAACAAATTCAAATCACAAACCCAAGTGGCCACACTCCCAACAATTACACGGGACTTCGAACCACTCAAATTAGAGCTCAGAAAATAGATAAACCGTCATTTGAATGAGGGCCCTTAAACTGAAATTTCTAGGTATAAATATTAAATATTGGTCACTAAAAATAAACTCTAGTTGCTACAATTCTAATATTTGGTCGTTAATAATTTGCACTAGATATCAGCACTCTATCTGGTTTGCTTCAACTCTAAATTCTTCAGCAGGGTGCTTGGTATTCAGTCAAAAACCTGTGTGTGCAAACAAAGTATTGTACCCTATAGAATTCGGGATTCCAAACTCAACAGAACCATCAAAACATCCTTTCGAATTTGTTTCGACAAAAAGTGGGTCCCATACACTAGTATCATTTAAGATAAAAATCAAAAGAAGATTTAAAATGAGACCAAAAGCCTAGGGAACCGCACGAAAAGGTTGTTCTAGATCAAACTCGACAATCCAAAATTACTCGTGCTGACAAAATTCTAAATTTTGACCAAAGTCAACCTTTGACTTAAAATTCAAAGTTAAAATGCCTAACGACACAAACTCATACCAGAAGTCTTGAACCCTAACCAACCATGTCCTAGACAAACATGACCCTTTATGGAGATGATGAAACCGTCATAATTGCATTCATAGGTCATCTTCCTAAACTTTTGACTGAATCAGCCATTCAAGTTTCAACGGCTCTAAAATATGAGAACTTACACAAATCCAAACAAATGACTTGATGACTGAAATCAACCGTTCAAGTTTCAAAGGCTCTAAAATATGAAAACTTATACAAAATTCAAACGGATGACCCACGACCAATCTATCAGTCTCAGCAAGTCGTAAATGACTTGTGATCACTCCATAAAATCTCTAGACGATGAAAAGATTGGAAAACAAAGAAAATGATCCGGATGGTTATTAAAATTACAGGGTTCAAATGAGCATTTTCCCCTTAATTTTTTATGTCTTGCTAAAAATTGTTCAACAAGCATAACCGCAATTACAACCGCAACAATTCTTTGGATCATATATTGATTTTTTTCCCGAATATTATTAAATAAGAAAATGACCTACCTGATTACTAAATTATTGTTGTGTTTTTTAAAATTATTGTGTTATGTAGTGTTTTGTTATCTTGTATTTAAATTATTATGTTATGTATTGTACTTTAAATTAAAATTTTCATCATATCGTTTAAATTATGTGCTTTCTTCATAGTGAAAATTGATAGCCATATCAAATTAAATTACTTAAAGTGCAAAAATTAAAAAATATATATTATTAATTCAGAAAAAATATCAATTAAATAATATATTTTTAAAATGTTATATTACAGGTAATATTAATATTAGAAATTTAATCAATAGTCTTATATAACAAATAATATGTTAATTACACAATAAAATCATAACAATATAATATTTAAAAAGTGAAATGCATTGTATGAATAGTTCTCCAAATTTGGAAAAATTACGATTCAGTACTTTATGATTGGAGAGTAGAAAGTGAATCAGAGAGTGATTGGAGAAAACACTCTCTCTAAATATCGAGAGTATAGAGTAAAATAGAGAGGGGTTTGAGAACTATTATTCATGTTCTCTATATTATTTTTAATAATTTAAATATTGTCTATATTGTATAACCAATATTTATAATTAATATATTTTAAATTATATATACTCAGTAATTCGTTCTTTAGTACTCGTAATAATTTTTCAATACAATATTTTTATATATTATCTTTAAGTTTACATTAATTTATAATTTTTATTAAAAGGTTCTTTAGAAAAATATTTAAGATATAAGCTAGTTTTATTATAATTTATATTTGTATTAAAAAGATAACCATCACAAAATGAAAAGTCCACTGCTAAATGAGTGATTAAATTAAAAATATCTAAAAATATATTATTGATCAGTTCGCTGCTTATATCATGAGTTAATACTTTTTTTAATTTAATTTAATTTGAATAATTATGATTCAAATTTTTAGTAAGTGTAAATAAATATAGTCTAACTTAACCTAAATACATCCCTAAACTTGTTACCATGGATGAAATATACGCTTGAAAGCAAAACTAACAATTACGCCAAATTCAAAAGATATTTTCATTACTTATTTCTATTTTTTCTAATATGTTTTACCAAATAACTCTAACGATTTTAAAAATGCATTTATCGTGGAATCTTGACCTATATACATACCACTTTATTGGAATGATTTTGGACACAAAAAACCTACCCGCACCAAGTGTATACATCAAATTAATGTAATTTCTATTATTATGTAATTAACAAAGTAAAATACTTAATAATTACTTAAAGTTAATATAAATTTAAACAAATGATATATATATATTTAAATTTATATTAACTTTAAGTAATTATCCTTTTGGGCTCACACTCGAAGCCTCAAGCCCACTCAAAATCTATAAGTAAAACATTTACACTGAACAAAGAAAACTTCAAGCCCTAATTTGCTACAGTTATTTAGTCACCACTGTTGTCTCCTTCCCCAATCCAATCCAAATTTTCTTTTGATTTTTGAATCGCATCTTATTTTTTCAATTTGTTATATTTTTGAGACACTATAAATGTTTTTTTTAGCTTTTTGTTTGTTGGTTCTGGATGAATTGTTAGGGGTAAAGATGACGGTGCTTTTTATTTCTGACACCTCTTGTTTGACAAGAGCGTTCAAAACGTTCTTCCATGAGCACATTAAGCAAACCTCTGAGCCCCTCACATATTTTTTTTCCAATTTCAGATCACAAGAACATATAGTTTTCAAACTATATCTGTTTTTTCCTTTGTTGTTTTTCGTTTTGTAAATTTTTGAGTGGAAATTCAGGCAGCCCCGTTTTCTATAATTGATTTGAAGGGAGGTGTTAATCTGCTCGTAAATTGAATTTGTTAATGCTCTTCAGATTTGCTGAGATATATTAATATCTTTGAAGCTGGTCCAGTAAGCTTAAGCACAATTTCCATAATTGATTTTATTATCAGATTAATAATACATGGGTATAATATGATTGATTATGAATAATTTGAATGATTTAGGTTATGGATGTGATGAATATTTCCCCAGATTATCGAAGCTGAAATAACTGAGCGCTTTATAATGTATTTTCTCCTCTTGTGGGAAAATCCAAGCTAGATATTCTGATTTATATACTTTTAATATGATTATTTACGTTTTATGCATGTTTAGTGTTTGTTAAAATGCATCAATGAAGTGCCATCAATGCATATATACAATGATCTGATATGATTTGTATATTCTATTTCTGCTCCGTAATTTAGCTTTGTTTGAATGAGATTTAGGGATATTTCATTGTTTAATTGATAGAAGTATGTATCACTTCTGAATTTATCCTCTTGATGCAAATTATGTCTTGCATGTTGAATACCTTTAATCATTTTGACATGGTTGACTGAAATGTACCACTTGAGTAGACAAAAAAAGTCAAGCAAATTGGTGAATCCCTTAACTAACGGATTTGCTCAAATTCAGTAGGAATACTCAACAAAGCATACTGAGATATATCGTAAAAATGAGCCTTGTACTTGGAATCTCACACGGAGCTATGCTGAAACTCATCCTTGTTGATTACAAAGACTATAAGACATAGATGTCTCCAAAAATATCTAAGTTTTCATGAGCTATCTTCTTATGCTTTTTCCACTATATCTATTGAGTTTGAACTGTGTCGTAAGTTGGTGAAGGAAGCCACAACTTTTCTTGTGTTATTATATTATACACTCTCCCTTTAAAAAAGAAAGACTTAGTTTGACTTGGAACGAAGTTTAAGAAATGAAAGAAGACTTTTGAGTCTTGTGGTTCTAAATTAAAGTTATGTCAAAATTAAAGTGTTTCCAATAAAGAAAAGGGATCATTCTGTTTTAAACAGACTAAAAAGGAAATGCGGACATTATTTTTGAAATGGAGGGAGTACGTTTAGAATATTGTCAATCTTGCTAGTATGATCGAGGGTATTTGACATCCTAGATAGGATAGTGTCATTTTGTCATCAGGTGAGTCCAACATCATACATTTAGGTGTTGAGTTTATTCGGGGTAGGTCATCGGTGTTGACTATTGCATCTAGGAATTCAGGGCAGTGCTAGCGGACATAGGTACAGTCAAACTAGTCATGGAGAACGTACAAACTCTTTTGGTTTTTCAAAGCGAGGTTTAGGTCCTCGAGATTTCTGATTGTGATCGAGTTTGGACACAAGATATGGTATTGCCCTAAACGTGCCTCTTTTAGTATTTAATCGGGGTTAGAGATTTTTTCAGCGCTATGCCATTTCAATAATTCATACAGTGCTAGATGTGGTACAAAGGCTAGCTTAAGGCAGTGCTCATGGTGGTTCTTAGGTTAGTGGTGATAACATAGTATGTCATGTTATACTGGTAGATCCGAGGTAGATGTCTCTGATGCAGTGATCACATGTATAGTCTCAGTTTGCAATCGTGCCACTACAGTGTTATTTTGTTCCGAGTCTACCTACTCATGTGTCTACTTATTTTGCTGTTTTGATTTTGTGTGCGAGACCCTTGTAGTAAATACTACATGTTTGGTACAGAGATTAATGACAAATGGATTAATAATGTAGGCATAAATAATACATGGAATAGTATTATAGTGGCTAGGAATGCAAGGATTAGTTTTTATTAACTGTTTAGTTCATTACATCCAACTTAATCTTGTCTTTGGATTAAAATTTTTCAAAAAGATTCTTTTCATTTATACTCTTGAATCATTATTATTTTATGTAATTGGGCCAATGTAAATATATGTCGGACAATATTAAATTTTTGTGGCCTTCTAATTAGTTAAAAAAGTAATAATTTGTCACCATATTTGTTATTTTTTCACTTGAATAATTTGAGGGTAAATAATTGTTTTCTTCAGATATTGATCGGTCAAAAAACACTAATTATCAATTTTTAAAAGATAGATCGTCTACTTTAAAATTAAAAGAACAGTAACAATAGAAAAACTGAATAAACCATTTATATTTAGAAATAAAAATTGCAAGTTGTAGTTTTTACCTCTATATGATTATATAAATTGTTCAAAATACAAATAATTAAAAACTACATATATATCAACAAATAATACATTCAATTATGATCACAAACGTTAGATCTGTTAATATGGGTCGGGCCCGTTAGGCCTAGCCTAACTCCGATTCGATAGGGCTAAGCTACAATTTTTTGAGCCTATTTAAAGAAAAAAGTTTATTTAACCCGACTTGAATAAGTCTGTCGATTTGTTGGGTTTGAAAAATATGGATAAGGCTGGCCCGTGAGCCAAATAAAAATTAACTAAAATGAATAAAATAGAGTATTAAAATAACAAGATTCTAAAGTTAAAATCAATTTAAAGTTTGAATAATTATTATTTAAGTACAAATTATATTTATAAAATATGTATTACGTGACACAAAAAATTCCTAAAATTTCTAGGAATCACTACATAGGTCGTAAGCCTATGGAATATTTTCATAGTTTTTGTGTTTTATAATGATCATTGGAAAACAATTAGGTTTATATTTTTATTTATTTATTTATGTTTTTACTTGAAATCAAACTTAATAAATATTGTAATGATAACTTTATATGTGGATTTGATCAATAAATAGTAACACTAACACCAAGTAATATTATCTTGTCGATATTTATGATAATATTTTTAAATTATAATTTAATTTTAAAAAATATAAAAATATATTTTTACGAAAAGAGGGTTGACCAAGCAAGCCCGTACTCCACGTATTTGTGGGCTGAGAAGATCATTTTTTGGCCCACAGCAAAAATGGACTAGCCCGGCCTAACCCGTTAAATTTCAAAGCTTGTATGGGTAAACGAAATTGGATGGGTCAGCTCTGTCACGACCCAAAAATCACGAGTCGTGATGGCACATATGTTACCAACCAATAGGTAAGCCAACAAACATATTTAACAAATTTAACTAGCTAATGAGTGAAAATACCACAATTAACCAAATCTCCAACACTGAGTTCCTTATAAGTAAGAATGCGGAAAACTGAAAGAAATACTACCGAAGAGTTGGTGTCATAAGTACAAGAGCTTCTAGAATACAATGCAAGTCTGAAACTAAAATGACAAATCTAACATAAGGGATATCCTTTCTGAATACTGAATAGCAGAATACGTAAAAAATAGAGGGAGATGTGGGCCACGGAACAACCAAGCTGCTCACCACAACTCCAAGACACTCTCAAACTCGGACTCAAACTGCTCCTCGAGATGTGCTCCTAATCGGAATCGAATCTGCATTACAAATAGTGCAACAAGTGTAGTATGAGTACAAAATCACGTGTACCCAGTATGTCTCATTGACCGACAACGAAGAAGTAGTGACGGGAGTTTATATAAGAAAATAAATTCTTAACTTATATAAGTATATATATATATATATAAACCTAATATTTTAGTTTTACCAATAAAGGAAATCAACATAAAGTACTTTTCAAACACCAAATGAAACATATAATCATCAAGAATGAATGATGTGATGAAATGCGATGCAATAAGATACCATGTAATGATATTTCTCAGACTACCCAGTACTCACTCAACCGTATATACATGATACTCCTCAGAAATACATCGAGAGCTCATGACCCATGGGGGACTCGCGAGGTCCATATACCGACACGGACGATCTCCACGTGTCTATGCGAACGATCTCAACGCACCATCATAATATCAAACAATTTCCGCACGGACGGTCTCGACGTGCCCAAATTACAATCTTAACATCTTACCATCCCCAGCACGGACGATCTCCACGTGCCCATTATTATACTCAATCTCATGTCAATGCATGTATACAATATTATTTCAAAATAAGGGGATGCTGATGCATCTCACTCAATAAATATTGACATAATGCACAACCACCTCCATTATCACAACTATACGGGTTTTAAAAAATAATAAAACACAATCACACAAATTCAAGTCAATAATATATCATCCAATGCCCATATGCTTTGGCAAATTCTCAAATTACAATCCACATTCTATAGTAGTAACTTTCTGTTTTATAACACTGGTACTCGTACCAATGCCCGTCACACCATTGATACGAGACCCCCAACTTTTGCCCTTACCCCTTTGTCTATTTTCATTTTTAATCTTTAATTTGGAAAACGTCCATCAACAAGTCTAAAAAGTCTTAACATACCTTAGATGCCGTACTTGTGCCACGAATCTTTTAAGATTTTTCCTTTCCTTTTCGCAAGGTTTCGGAACGTTTCCAATCTATCAATTATGCAATATTCGTAAGTAAGCAATTTTTGTAAACATTTAAATTATTATATGTCTATCATAGACGCTAAAACTCACTCATATTTCCAACCAAACTCCAAATCTTGATATACAGTGGTATGCCAAAATTTTCATACTTGCTAAATTTCAAGCCAAGAACTTAAGTCTAACCTCTTCAAATGGACTAAATTTCAATGTTATATCATATAAAATAACACCTAATAATTAATTACCTATATCAATATATCAAACTTAAATCTTTATTTGATAAATAAAAAAAACATCTTAAAAATTATCAACAGTGAAGTGCACTGTTAACACAACCTTTGTTTCTTTTTCTTTTTTTTTCCAATCTTTTATGTACTATATCTAATTCTAATAGAAAACATACCAAATTCCAATCATTGATATTATTGCCTAATGATTGGCTTATAAGTTTGTCCCCCATTATTGATAAATATTACCTCCATAAGAAATAATTTAAACCCTTGACATATGTACTTGAACCTCACATCAATAATATAATAACGATAACAATTCAATTAACCCTTATTTAAGTTTGCAATTCTATTCGACAGAAAATTGTAAAAAAAATAATATTGATAGAGTTCTTTTTCCTTACCTGAACGACGGTTCTTCTCGGACGCCTAGGTATTGACTATTGAGTGAGCAGTTATCACTATTTCTGCTTCCCTCAAATTATGATATATTAATTTTAACTCTTCTAACTTATTTTAATACATGGGCTAAATATTAAAGGTAGTGCATTAGTTATGGACTTAGCCCACTAACTATTAAATTATTATTTATTTAATAAAAGTTTCATCAATTGGGTATTCATAGTTATTGAATAGTTTAAAAATACCCCTTTAAATTTTCAAAAGGAGTCAAACTAGTCCTAGTTCTTAAAACGACCTAGCGGGTCGTTACATCACCTACCTAACCTGAATGCTCAAAAAGATGAGGATATTTACTCCTCATGTCTGACTTTGTCTCCAATGTAGCTTCCTCCACTGGACGATGCTTCCACTGAACCTTTACTGAAGCAACCTCCTTGTACCTTA